TTTTATAGGCATACATTTGTATATCTTTAATTTTTTTATTTTTTTTACCAATTATTGATAGTTTTTATTTATTTATTATTATGTATATACAATGTGTAGTACGCCCATGTAAAGACGGTTGAGACAATTTGTGTGTAACGGTCTATAAAAAATATATATTATTAGGCTATTGAGATTACTAAAATTATTATTAAGCTTTCATATGTATACATATGAAAGCTTATTGTTTCTGTTAAGATTATTAAGCTTTCATATTACATATGAAAGCTTATTGTTTCTGTTAAGATTATTATTGTTATTTTTTTTTTGTGTTTTGTCCACAAATCGGATTTCTCAGAATCTAACCATAGGATCGTTCTGAAACTTTTACCTATCCCCCCAAAAATGGGTGGTGGCTGTTGATTAAATATATTTTCAAAACGTTTTACGAATCCGAAATCACCGAATTTTACGAAGGAATGCATTTGACCTACAATGCTGTAACTCTGTGACTATTTGACCTATTTTACTAATTCTTTTTTCTTTGAGTATCTTGAAACATTTACTTCAAATCTGCAATTTCGGATTTTGGCATTTCGAAAATTCGTCGCTGTCATTTCGAACCGGAAGTTATTACCAATTTGACAACTTCTTTAATAGTTGTGCGATTTTCGTGAAAGTTAGAATGTTAGTAGATCTTGCCAATGCGACTTCAATGATGTCCTTGGAAATTTTCTAAATTATCTCCCCTTGGTGAAATTAAGGATCACAGTTTTCAAAAAAATCGTCGAAATATAGGTCAGATTGCCTAGAAATTTTTTTTCTGTACTAGCTAAGACAGTACTGATGAGTACACAAAATATGGAGTTTGTCGAGGAAACCGGAAGTGCCACCATCTCAAAATGTGAAAAGTCCATACGGCTTTTGCAATATTTTACTTAAAGACATAAGAGTTACATTTTCTGAATGCTTGAAGGAAAGCCTAAAAATCTATCGGTTTAGAATTTTGATTTAGGTCAACTGATGGACGCCATTTTGAAATGAAAATGAAAATTAGTGAAAAATCCACATTTATGGGCTTGAAAACATACACAATTGGTCGTGGCTTAGAGAATCTGTCTCCTATTACCGAAATTAATACATTTGAGGATAGCCTGGATCATGGTCGAATGTTTGGTATTTGAATATTTCAAAAATTCGAATTTCTCCTTTGATGTTTTCCGTGCCGACAAGGTTGTTTTCGAGTTTAGCTGGTTTTGATTTCGCGCATGCGCTACACAGGAACCAACGGTACCATGAGTACTAAATTCCGGCGAGCAACTTTTCACGTTGGTACCTAGGCACCCTGAAAATTTCAAGGTGATACCTGCATTCGTTCAAGTCGTTTGTTCTTGTCACCTGCCTTTCGTCGTTTTTTTTTTTCTAAGTCAATTTACGGCTTCCATGAGGGGAAAAAAGTGGAATTTCGCCGTGACACCGGCACCGATTGTCCGAAAACCATGAAATTTGGACACAATACGCCCATTACCACCCCGGACTCTGTGCTTTACCCCCATTTTGATCCCATTAAAAAAAAAGAGTTTTAGCAAAAAAACGATTTTCGGAATTTAATATTGGTTTTAACCCTGTAATACCCAGACATGATATATTATTATAATCCCTATGAAATATTTTAATTATTTACTGCTATAATATGAATTATCACTTATTCCCCGTTAAATAAATATCGGTCACCTGGTGCCGCTGTACAACTTAAAGGACACTGGCCTCAAGTCAATTTACGGAGAGAGAGAGAGAGAAATGGGGTTTAACGTCCACTCGACACAAACTAGGTCATTTCGGGACCAACATATGGTTTAATTTTATTTCAATAATTCGCTTGCGCGTAGGGGTCTTTAGCAGTGGGAGGAAACCGGAGGACCCGGAGAAAACCCACAAGGTTGGACAGGCGACCCTACTCCTTGCGTCAATTTACGGCTTCCATGAGGGGAAAAAAGTGGAATTTCGCCGTGACACCGGCACCGATTGTCCGAAAACCATGAAATTAGGACACAATACGCCCATTACCACCCCTGACTCTGTGCTTTACCCCCATTTTGATCACATTAAAAAGAAAAGAGTTTTAGCAAAAAAACGATTTTCGGAATTTAATATTGGTTTTAATTAATTTTGAAATTGGAAATGCAAAGAGATTTTATCACCTCTTCCTGTATGTGATAGGTATTGGTACTATACACATTATCCTTAAAAGACAATTTTTTAAACTGACCGTAACGATGCATCGACACTAGAAACCGAAATCGCCTATTTTGACCTATTTTGACTGCTGGGGTATCTTTCCGTACGTGACAAGGAGTAGGTCGCCCGTCCAACCTGTGTATTTTTTCAGGATCACCCGGTTTCCCCCCACTGCTAGACCCCTACGCGCAAGCGAATTATTGAAATAAAATTGAACCATACGTTAGTCCCGAAATGACCTAGTTTGTGTCGAGTGGTCGATCAACCCCATTTCGCTCTCTCAATTTTAGCACTCTTAACTCTAAAACTAAATGCAAGGAACGGGCCTATTTACAGAGGTCACAATTTTAACCTACATGCACACCTACATGATATACATATTATTATAATCCCTATGGGATATTTTAATTATTTACTGTTATAATATGAATTATCACTTATTCCCCGTTAAATAAATATCGGTCACCGGGTGCAGCTGTACAACTTCAAGGACCTTGGCCTCAAGTGCATGGGACCAACTCTACATTTTCTGAAATGTCAATAAAAGCCCTGGAATGATTTCATTTAAAAAAAATAATCAGAAAGTAAATCTAGTTTTATTTATATGCTATTTGTTGCCAGAAAATATATTTTGTTACGAGTCTAATTCAAATTTAAAAATAAACATTGGGTCTGAGGCATATTTTATTGATATATAGAAATTAATGCAGTGTTCTCATTATGTGATAAAAGAGTGCCAGAAATGTCTCGAAATTCAGCCATTTGTGTATTTAGTATATCAAGTATATGCGTGTATTACAAAGCTCTGATTTGTGTGATTTGTGTACACCCCGCTCCCCCCCCCCCCTCCTCGTGTCACTATCATGTACATATCAATTCTGCTGCCAACCCACCCACGCGAACATGACTAAATTATGAAACATTGTCTAGTCGTTTGTATGTTACGACAAAACGAGGCCAGCGTGGCTCATTTGCTGCAGAACGGAAGGCCTTGCAAGGATTAGTGTCTAGTCGTTTGGATGGTACGAAAACCCGAGGTCAAAGTGGTTCCCCGTTGGCAGTGGTGAAGTATGGAAGGCCTAGCAAGGATCTGTGTCTAGTCGTTTCGATGGGACGAAAAACGCCCGTCCCCTCGTCCATGGTACAAGGATTAGTGCCTAGTCGCTTGGATGGTATGCAAAACAGAGGTCCCCGTTCTCTCCCTTTATCTGTGGTTCTTGACCGAAGGCCCGACAAATAACTTTGCGTGCAGTTTTTTAGGTAGGACGAAAAATCGAAATCCTGTGTGCATATTGGCGTGCACGAAAAATAACCCTTTGCATTTGGAATTTTATGCACCCACCCCACCCTCGAACAACGCTTAACATAACATTTTGTTTTCACTACCTACATTGTAAAATTTGTTTGATTTCAGATGACTTAGCCCCGGTTTTTCACAGTGAAAGATTTTGATGAAACTTGACATGCATGTTTATAACCCAAAGATATGGTTCCTTTCGATATTTGCGCATATCGATTCGTAACTTCATGAATTATGGTCCCTGATTGTAAGAAAAATCACTTTATATTTCGCGTGTTCTCTATCTATCTCTCGGAAATGGAATATGGAAATACACAAGCTAGCTAGTGTATTACAGGTTGGTGGTGGTGGAGATGAGGTCTTCTATTTGCAATGATTTTTTGACTACAAAATATACGCTCTAACTCATTACTCAAACTACAGCAAAAAAAAAGCGGAACGGAAACCCGATTTTATATATTCTTACAATAGCAACGCACTTCGGGATTAACTTAGAAATGGTTCCACTACTGATGTCTTCCGCCTTACTCCTGCCACAGTAGTGGCTTGTCCTACGGAGTTCCTTTCCGCAAGTTTTTTTTAGTCAAATGACTACAAAAAGGTTACTGGCCTATGTATAGCTCCCTTAATTTACACATAAACTGACCTAAAACTGCACTGCACATATAATAAACCAATTCCCATTGAAATAAAGGTGAAGCCGTACCGCATAATTATATGATTTGATGAAACCCAACTGCTACCTGAAGTTTCTCGCCTATCGAAGTTATAATATCCGCCGGTGTCATGGCGGCTCGCACATTATAAGAATCATTGCTTTGAAAATGTAGAACGCATTAACACAAAGAAAAACTGATGGGTAACTAGTTTAGTGGTCCAGTCTTCACTATAATTTGTGATATAATTACTTATTTAAAAAAAACTGAATGATGTAAAAATAAAAATGGTTGGAGTGCCCAAGTTTAGATTTGTCGTTGATTTCATAAAGATGTTAGGATATAGAACGTTAAATACTGTGTGATTCAACATGGCGGCCGAGGGGTTTAATATGATATAAGTACGAAATACATGTACATGTAGTACCAAATGGTTTATATGTATGAGAGTCAAGGTTTGGACTAAATGTCTTGGGGAAGTAGGGGGCGACTAGCATGTGCCTCTCTTTAGTGGACCGATGTGAGATTGCCCATTGTATTAACTGGACGGGTAGGCCTATTCACCTTCAGTTATGTGTCAATGTCAAATAAGCGGCTTCGTATCAACACGGTCGGCTCTGGGCCGGTTTAATTCTACGTATCTCTCGTAGCTGAGAGAAAAAAGATTTTTTAGCCCAGAGAATATCTTCCGTCAGAGTGGTTGTTGATTCATAGATTCTAATAACATCTTTTGAAGTTTATATGAAAGCTTTGATATCTGCTATGCAGATCTAGTTATTATTATTTTTTTTTTTGTGTGTGTTTTTCCTGCAAATCTTATATTTCAGAATCTAACCGTGGGATCTTTCTGAAACTTTGACCTACCCCCCCAAGAATGGGTGGTGGCTTTGGAATAGGTATGTTTTCAAAACGTTTTACACATCCGAATGAATGCATTTGACCTACATTGCTGTAACTTTGTGACTTTTTGACCTATTTTACTAAAAAAAAATTCTTTGAGTACCTTGAATCATTTACTTCAAATCTGCAATTTCGGATTTTCGAATTTCAAAAATTTGTCGCTGTGATTTCGAACGGGAAGTTAAAATCAACTTGACAACTTCTTTAATAGTTGCACAATTATCATGAAATTCAGTATGTAAGTAGATCTTACCAATACAACTTGAAAAATGTCATTAGAAATTTTCTGTATTATCTCCCCTTGATGGAATTAAGGATCAAAGTTTTAAAAAAAATCGACGAAATATAGGTCCGATTTCCTTGAAATTGTATTTCTTTACTAGTTACGACACTACTGATTCGTACACAAAAAATGGAGTTTGTAGCCCAAACCGGAAGTGCCACCATCTTGAAATGTGAAATATCGCTAAGGCTTTTTTAATATTTTACTTACAGACAAGGGGATTATATTTTCCAAATCCTTGAAGGAAAGTCCATAAAATGTAGGCAGTAGAATTTTGATTTAGGTCAACTGATGGACGCCATTTTGAATTGAAAATGAAAAATAGTGAAAAATTCACATTAATGGGCTTGAAAACATACATAATTGGTCGTGACTTAGAGAATGTGTCTCCTATTACCGAAATTATTGCATTTCAGGATAGCCTGGATCATGGTCGAATGTTTGGTATTTGAATATTTCAAAAATTCGAATTTCTCCTTTGATGTTTTCCGTGCCGACAAGGTTGTTTTCGAGTTTAGCTGGTTTTGATTTCGCGCATGCGCTACACAGGAACCAAAGGTACCATGAGTACTAAATTCCGGCGAGCAACTTTTCACGTTGGTACCTAGGTACCCTGAAAATTTCAAGGTGATACCTGCATTCGTTCAAGTCGTTTGTTCTTGTCACCTTCCTTTCGTCATTTTTTTTCTAATAGCCCGTTCAGACGCTTAAGTTGAACTGGTTTAAAAACCCCGGGGATCGTTAAACCAGTTTAACTTAAACGTCTGAACGCAAATGTGGGGCAAATACACCGTCGGGTGTGACCGGATCAAAACATCTAAAGTATCGTTTGGTAACTCGATAAATGGGCTATTGTATGACACACTTCCTGTCTGATTCCTGAAAGCCAGTTCAGTGCTGCTTGCAGGTCTAGTTATTATTATTATTATTATTATTATTACAATATATCACTGTTACACCCTAGGGATTGGTTGAGTTCGAATTTCGTAAAAATCGGACCGAAACTGACAAAATGGCCGCCCCTCGTTCGCAAATAGTGTCAAAATATTGTGCATCAGGGTTGTGGACCCTCTGGAGGTCACAATTCTCATCTGATTTTGATGAAACTTGAAATGCATGTTTATAACCCACAGATCTTGGTTCCTTTTGATAATCGCGGATACCCAAACTTAACTTCTCTAGAGGTCACAATTATTTTCCAAATTTAAAAACCGTTTAAATACATCACCATTCTGGCATAATGAAGGTTGAATTCGTATTTCGGAAAAATCAAAATGAAACTGTCCAACAAAATGGCCGCTCTTTGTACGCAAATTGTGTAGAAGTGTGTAATCCGAAGGTTGTGGACCCTCTAGAGGTCACAATTTTTATCCGATTTTGATGAAACTTAAAACATATCTTTATATCCCAAAGATCTCTGTCCCTTTTGATATTTGCACATTTCAGGCCATAACTTTCTGGATTATTGCTCCTGATTGTACAAAAAATCCTGTTTGTTTTTAGCTTGTTCTTTATCATCTCTTGCAAAATGTGGGCGTATTCTGCCTGGCAGCCGCTGTTCATTTCTGACAAAAGTAAAAATATGAGACAACCTTTGTTGACTCCCTGGACGACTCATTTTTCGACAGTTATTTATTCATCTCACAAACCGTTGAACTAATATCCAAAATGGTCGCAGCAATTAGTGCGAAAGAAAGTATTCTTTTAATACCAATAACAATATAAATACAGGTGACATGTCGTTTCATTGGTTTTGGGGGACTCGGAACACGAATATGCTATTTCCAAGTTGATGGGACTAATGGGAATGGAGATAGCATACACAAATTGAGCATATTCGCGACTACAGAAAACACATGTAATAATAACTACCATAAGTTGTTCCAGACATGCACGAATCTTATACTTCATACAGCCATCATAATACATTATGATGCACTTTATGATAATGTATTCCTCCGTTTGTCTCGGAAATCTCAAAAAACACGTGTCAAGAGTCCATCATTGGATTGTATCTATTGTGTTATGAGTATTTTAGTCATCTGTCAGACTTGCGCACTCAGATTGAGATGGTATATTGATTATCTTGAAACTTGGTATACTTATTCCTTATACCCTAATGACGACAACTATTGATTTTGGTGCATGATCCGCCCCGCTTGGGCGATGCCACACCCAGTTTTTGTTAATATATTGTCGGTAAATAATCTAATTTTTAACAGATGTGGATCCAATTCGGCATGATCCATGGCCATCATAGGATTGTATCTATTGTGTCAAGAATCTGAGTATTTTCAGTCATCTGTCAGACTTGCGCACTCAGATTGAGATGGTACTATGAAATGTGGATCACATCGGACTTTAATAAATAAAACTTTAGAAAAAAAAAAAATTCAAAACAACGATTGATTCTTGTTATATATTACATTTCTGCCACATTCAACGACAATTAAGCATATAATCCTACCTGACATGGGTACAAATCATCTCTTTTAAATTGAAGTGTCAAAAACTGGCTTTGCCCGACATTTTAAAACGGAATAGGTTTGACGTCTTAACGTCACGAAGGCAGGGCTAATAAGGGTGTACAACAGCCACTCAAAATATGTGACTTAAAACTACAAGTAGGGAACCTTTGTGGGTCGCACATGACTAATGCATCGTAATTATGAATGGGCGATCCAGTTTTGTTAAAAACACCGCTTGAATAACTTTAATGAGAATGTTTGCAGATAAGCGAAATCTGTGTCACTATATTGGGCTGGGTATGTTTAATTAGTCTAAATAGTTTAAAAATACTGTTACTTGCATTGATAAAGAAAATAAGTTTTCCAGGTGAAACTAAAGGCACCTAATCGTAGCTAAATACAAACACATCAGTATATCTCAGCGCTTTTCGCGACGTTCTCATAGCTAGCTATGTAACAGTGTGCGGTTTCACGTCACCGCTTAAATGTTCATGTACTGATCAAATAGTGACTATAGTGACTGTCAGTAAAAAGTTCATGTGAATTTATATTTTGATTGCCTTGTGAAAACCCCACAACTTAGTAGGTATATGTGCAAGTTAGTAGGTATGTCATAGATTTTGAAGATATTGTTCTTATGAATATTTTGTGTTCTTATCAAAGAAATTATTGAAGTATGCCTATTTTAATTAGACGCCTACTTCTGCGCAATATCTGTTTATATAGAATAAACTCTGCAATCAATTTGAAAAATCCGAATTTATGCAAAGTTAACGACATGATACGAAGCTTAATTTATTTTCAACGGTTTCCGATAACTTAAACAGCTAAACTTATTATCTGATTATCGGTACATTTGACACATGTGTTGCGTAATCAATTTTGGCATCGGGGTGGTAATGGTAATTATTTTCGATAATTACTCAATGGGTTGTTACTTTTGATCAGTTTTTAGTGTCTTGTAAATGCCCCCATTAAAGGGCAATATTGGTGCCAGTCATTATCACATATGTGATAGAACTGATAGAACTGGTTAAACACATTCCAAATATTATTTTATCACAGAGATCATTGCTACGATAGAGGCGTAATCAATACTTCAACGATCGGAAATGACGAACGCAAAAGGAAAACACGAGTTATCTCTCTATATAACTGATTGAAGTGACGGGTGATAACAGGTACATGGGCGAATTTATGCCCACTTATAATTCCTTCGAAGACCAAAAGTTGTTATATGAGATTGTAAGAGTATATATGACGATTCAAAAAAGTAATTGAATGTCATTAGATAAGAGAACACGAATAAAATAGAAACAGTCCGTACATTCACGCGTGTTTATTCATTCTATCCTTATAAAAACATAGTAATGCACGGACTTTTTCTATTTTTCTTACATGTTCTCTTATCTAGTAACAGTCAATTTTTTTTATGAATTGTCAGATATGCTTTCACAGTCTCACACAACAACGTTTGGTCTTCGAAGGAATTATTAGTGGGCAGAAATTCGCCCATGTACCTGTTATCACCCGTCACTTCAATCACTCGTGTTTTAATTTTGCGGTCGTCACTTCCGATTGTTGAAACATTGATTCCACAGCTATCGTAGCAATGATTTCTGTGTTAAAATTATATTTGGAATGTGTTTAACCAGTTCTATCACATATATGATAATGACTGGCACCAATATTGTCCTTTAGTTTAAGTACAACCCCTGTTGTTGGAATTCAGTATAAGAGTAGGCCGTAGTGGCGCTGTCCAGGCAAAATTTCCCACATAGCAAACTGTATGGCGTATGCCCGTCTTCATTAGCCCAGTTCGGAGCAGAAACAGTAGGGTGTTAAACCCCATTTCATTTCACGGACGACTTAGCTGTTGTGGGCGTAAGGTTTACCTGGCGACCCATCTTTATTTTTTGTAGGAAAAAGACAAGGCTGTGCCAAGTTTAGCATCAACAGAATATGGACATCGTTTAAATCATCATTTAGAGAAGAGAGACAGAAAACATGTTAGAATAGGCCATGTTCAATCAGAATTTTATAGAAGAAACATGATACCATAAGTTGTATTAGTATTAATAAATGGTATTTCTTATAAGACCCGACCAATGAAGTAGTTCTGTGCTATAAAGTGAATTTGTACAATGCATAATTGATATAACATCATATTCTGATTTTAGTTTGATATTGCATTTCGATTTATATGCGCACATTTATACACCCACTTTTAAGAGTGGGTGTATTACGTCATCGCTGCTGTTTGGTCTGTTGGATTTTAATTAGATTTATAGACGCTTGTGAAAGCGACAGAGGATATAGTTTTTACCGAATTTGGTTCAAATGTGGTGTGAAGAATTCAATGTTCCACAGCTTTGTTCCAGAAAACCTTGGGAACGGGATAGAAGCTATATTTTTTCAAACTTTTTAAAATTTGGTGGGAAATATTGGGGTGATGAGAGTATGAACACTATGTTCCGGGATTGCCTCCCCATTGCCAAAAACCTTATGAATGCAATAGATACTATAGTGTGGTATGACATGTCATCAAAACGGCCCCCGTAGGATTTGTATGCTAAAACTGACTTTTTTGTTGTTTAGGTTTGATTAGGGACCAAGCTATCCAAAAATGTTGGGGTTCAAATTTTCTGACCCCTTGACCCCTCTGGGAGAGGCATTTTTATACGCCCACATTGAAATGTGGTCGTATATTGTCGTCGCCCCCGTCCGTCCGTCCGTCCGGCGTCCACAATTGCTTGTGGACGCTCTAGAGGCTAAAATTAATATCCGATTGACTTTAAATTTATACACAGTGTTTAAGGTCATGAGACGAAGAAGTCTAGTCATTTTCAGTGATTTTCGATAATTACTGCCAGAGTTATGGCCCTTGATCACTTTAAAAAAATCTTGTGGACGCTCTAGAGGCCAAAGTTAATATCCGATTGATTTTAAATTTATACACAGTGTTTAAGGTCATGAGACGAAGAATCCTATTGATTTTCAGCGATTTCCGATAATTACTGCCAGAGTTATGGCCCTTGATCACTTCAAAAAATCTTGTGGACGCTCTAGAGTGTAAAGTTAATATCCGATTGACTTTAAATTTATACACAGTGTTTAAGGTCATGAGACGAAGAAGTCTATTCATTTTCAGTGATTTTCGATAATTACTGCCAGAGTTATGGCCCTTGATCACTTCAAAAAACCTTGTGGATGCTCTAAAGGCTAAAGTTAATATCTGCTGATTGACTTTAAATTTATACACAGTGTTTGAGGTCACGAGGCGAAGAATCCTATTGATTTTCAAAGATTTCTGATAATTATTGCCAATACACAGAGTTTAAGATCTTGAGACAAACAAGTATATTGATTTTTAATGAATTTTTAAGACTTGGAACAGCTAAATTCATGATACAGTATTAAAAGTTTTGTATACAAAACGTTAGCATGGGGCAGAACTTTATAAAAACCAAACAAATTCTAATGGTTTTCTGAGTTGTTGCTCTTAATCAGATTTTAGTGTATTATAAATGTTTCATTACCGAAAAAAGTAAAAATATGCGACAACTCTTGTTGACTGCCCGGACGATTTAGCTGCTGTGGGCGTATGTTTCGTTGCCTGGCAACCTATCGGGACCCCTCTGAACGAGAACATGGCTATCTCTGCCAATAATGGTTGGATTTTCATGATCTGAAGTCCATTATCGTGTGTTTTCATCATGCCGATCCCATTTATGATACACTTATAGCGATTGGAAGTTGTTTTCATTGACTTCCGGTGAGGAATACCAATTTCCGGTGTCAAACTTGGATTGATTTCAGCCAATAATCTTTGGATTTTCATGGTTTTTATTTCATCAGGCCGACCCCATCTATGATACACTTAAAGCGAATGGAAGTAGTTTCCATTGACTTCCGGTGGGAAATACCAATTTCCGGTGTCAAACTCGGATTGATTTCAGCCAATAATCTTAGGATTTTCAGGATCTGAAGTTCATTCTGGGTGTTTTTCTTCATCATGCCGCCCCCTTGTATGATACACTTCAAGCGAATGGAAGTATTTTTTATTGACTTCCGGTTGGAAATACCAATATCCGGTGTCAAACTCGGATCGATTTCAGTTTAGAGAAATCTATCACGCAGTACCACTTTTTGTGGCTTCTGAGTCGATTCGCATTGTGAATGCCACTTGTAAGCCAGGGAGTTTCTACATTTTTTTTATGTTTTCTTCATACTCTTGACGTACAGGCATAGAACTTTGGGTGGTGTAGCCTGTGCTGTATCAACCAGACTAGCATATGACACTGGTTGAGCCTTTGCTCCTTCAATAGCATATCCTGCCTCTCCCAGGTGGGGGGGTCAAGGGGTCGGAAAATTTGAACCCCAACATTTTTGGATAGCTTGGTCCAAGACCAACGCAAAACAACAAAAAAAAAAAATCAATTTTAGCATACAGATCCTACGGGATGACATGTTATACCACACTACTATGGTATTTATACTTTCACATTCATAATGTGGGCGTATATTGCCGTCGCCACTGTGTGTGTGTGTCTGTGGATCGCCTACAGAGAGAGATAGATGGAGTTTATCCGATCTGTATGAAATTTATATGCATTATTTCAATTAGTAAAACGATTGACGGTTCACAAGATTGTAAAAACTAAAACAAGGACCGTAACTTTGGAAGTAATCTACAGAAATTGTTGAAATTCGACAGGATTTTTCGTTTCACTAATTCAAATAATGCATATAAATGTCATACAGATCGGATGATAACTTTTGTCGCTCGAACGTTCACAAGGTTCAACAAAATAAAACAAGGGTCAGAACTCTAGAAGTAATTGACGAAAATTGCTGACATTTAATAGGCTTCTTTATTTCATTTATTTAAATGGTGCATATGAATTTCATACAGATTAGGTGATAACTTTTGTCGTTCAAGCGTTCACAAGATTCAACAAAGTGAAACAAGGGCCATAAGTCTAGATGTAATTTACGGAAATTTGCTGAAACTCAATAGGCTTGTTCATTTTACTAATTTAAACGATACATATAAATTTCATACAGATTAGATAATAACTTTTGTCGTTAGAGCATTCACAAGGTACAACAAAGTGAAACAAGGGCTATAACTCATGGCGTAATTAACGGAAATTGCTGAAATAGCATTCTTCGTTGAACTAATCTAAATAATGCATATCAATTTCAAACAGATCGGATGATAACTGTTGTCATTAGAGCGTTCACAAGATTCAACAAAGTGAAACAAGGGCCATAACTCTATATGTCGTTAGAGCATTCAAAAGGTACAGCCAAGTCAAACAAGGGCCATAACTCACGGACCCAGGAAAGTTTTGTTGTCGTAACGTTAACGTTTTTACAAACGTTACAGGATACGTTTACTGAACATTAATGTTAACGTATTGAAAGCGTTAACGTTAACGTTTTGAAAACATTAGTTATTATGATTATTTCACGTTAGTTTTGAATGTTCATCTGACGTAAGCCAGGAAAGTTTTGTTGTCGTAAGGACAACGTTTTTTTACAAACGTAACTGGAAAAGTTAACTGAACATTAATGTTAACGTTTTGAAAATATTAGTTATTCTGTTATTTCACGTTCGTTGTGAATGTTTGTAGCACGTGTCCCAGGAAAGTTTTGTTGTCGTAACGTTAACGTTTTTACAAACTTTACAGGATACGTTTACTGAACATTAATGTTAATGTTTTGAAAACATTAGTTATTATGGTTATTTCACGTTAGTTTTGAATGTTCATCTGACGTAAGCCAGGAAAGTTTTGTTGTCGTCAGCTCCACGTTATTTACATATGTTATCGGATACGTTAAGCAGACGGCCCGGTTCACGTCAAGCGAACCTTGGTGTTCCGGGAACGTTTCAGAAACATTTTCTCCCAACTTTCTAAAAGAACGTTATAAAATATACTTGTGGTACGGATTAAAAATGTTTTCATAAAATGATCCCAGGACGTTATCTAAACCTTTATTTCGGTTCGCTTTCTGTTATGGGGAAGGTACCGGTAACGTCTACAGCATGTATTACACTTCACCTCTTTAACGTTCCGGATAACGTCAATAACATGTGTTAAATTCTCCTAACCTAAACGTTACAGATAACCTCTGGAGAACGTGTTAAATCTCTCCCTTGTAAGGTTTCAGATAACGTCTATAGCATGTGTTTTATTTCCCTCCTTCAACGTTACAGATAACATCTAGTGCAGGTGTTAAAATCCTCTCGGTAAACGTTCCCTATAACGTCTAAAGCATGTGTTAATTTCTAACCGCAATACGTTACATACGTCTACATCATTTGTAAAATTCCTCTCCGTAAACGTTCCCGCTAACGTCTACAGCATGCATGAAATCCCCCTCCATAAACGTTGTCGATAACGTCTATAGCATGTGTTAAATACCCCCCCCCCCCCGAACATTACCGATAACGTCAATAGCACGTCTTTATTCCCAACCCTAAAACGTTACCGATAACGTCTATAGCAGGTGTTCAATTCTCCCCATGAAACGTTCTCTGTAACGTCAATAGCATATGTTAAATCCCCACGCTAATACGTTACCGATAACGTCTATAGCAGGTGTTCAATGCTCCCCCTGAAATGTTATCTATAACGTCTATAGCATGCATTAAATACCCCCCCCCCCCTAAACGTTACAGATAACGTGTAACTCAAGTATAACCTGTAATATCATTTCTTCAAAGGTCAGCTTAATTCTATCATCAAAAATATGAATATTAACCAGAATTTTTTTATACGTCCACATGAAATATTGTCGTCGCCCTTTCCGTCCGTCCACAATTTGTTTGTGGACACTCAACAGGTCACAATTCTTATCGCTTTTGACGAAACTTGAAATATAGGTTTATCTCCAAAAGACCTTGGTTCCTTTCGATATTGGCATGTATTGGATCGAAACTTCATGGATTATGGCCCCTGTTTGTACGAAAAATCACGTTTTTAGCTTGTGGACCCTATAGAGGTCACAATTTTAATCCGATTTTGTTGAAACTTGAAATGTAAGTTTATAACCCAAAGATCTCGGTTCCTTTCGATATTCGCGCATATCGGACCGTAACT